AAGTGCTTATTCCACTGAGCTATCTCCCCGGCCCGAGAATACTTTTTCATACATTCATTTCTATATTATGACAGTGTAGGGCTACAGATATATTTGGTATGTTTTTAATATTTTCTAATTTCTTTAAAAGTCATATTAAACTAACTTTATCATTGATTATGAAGATATCTAAATTATTATTCTAGGTCAACAATAGTGAACCTTTTAAAGCTCCTAATTATACAAATAGCCCTTGTTTACAAGTGGTTTTCTACTTAGTAACTATTATAAAATTTTATTTTATTTAATTAATTAATTTATTTTCCTATATTTTAAGAAAGGGTCTACAGGGTGTTCAGGGTTCACTATTAGATGGGACTCATAGTAATGCTCTGGTATACAACCTCCCATGTGCTAAGATTACAGGCTCATGCCACCACGCCCAGTCTCAATTGCTGTCTCAGTGCACCCTGGGAGCAGAGCTAGCACCCCTGGCCCCTGCACCTGCTTGCAGACGCTTTAATCTGTTGAGCTATTTGGCCAGCCCAGTAACTATTATAAAATTTCAAATAGATTTCTTTTGTAGTTTTCAGCTTCTACTTAGTGGGGTAATAGAAATTAAATTTGCAAAGCATGCACATGATTGATAATACTGTAATATGAAGGAAAAATTAAAAGGTTAACCATTGCTTATCGTATGCTTAAAAATTTATCTTGGTCTTCTTTTCATTGTGAACTGCACAACATGTACACCAAAAAAATGCGTAACATACATTTTCAGTTTAAAGAGTTTATTTACTGAATAGCCATATTGTTTCCATATTTTGGAAAAGGATGTAGCTAGTGTCTTAGAAGATTGTGGTCTGCTCTCCCTCAGTCTCATCCTTTTGCGTCTTTGAGATAACGGAAGTTCAGCTTTGGTTTGTTTTTTCAGACAGTGTTTGGAGAGCTCATATCTTTGGAAGATAATAGTGATGTCACAGGGTTGGCTGTGTTTATTCTGAATCGCTTACTTTGGAATCCTGATATAGCAGCTGAGTATCGACATCCCAGTGTTCCACATCTATACAGAGATGGTATTTCTGCCTGCATTACATTTTCTGCACACTATGCATGAGTGGCCTCTACTTATTCTTCTTGTTTGTATGTGCATATTAGTTTTTCGAAGAAACTAATCTAAATAGATCTGTTTACCCTTCCCCATTCTTCACTCCCATTTTCCCTCCATCACTGTTTATAATTATTTTTTACTTCTTTGTTGTCTCTGTCCACTCAGTTTTCCCAGTAGGTTGTAAGACCTATGGTGTTATATATGTTATAGTTCACTACTGTGTATCTAACACCTGGCATGGCGCTTGCAGGTTGTTGGTGTTCATTAAATATTTGTTGTGAAAACTAGTTATATCTCTTGATGCTGCTGTGCTTGTTTCCTTGTTCAGGAACTGGACATGTTAAATGCTACCTTCCCAGGAGAGAATTTAATGGTTCTCACATATAAATTACCAGAAAAGGCACAGTGTTTTATTTGTGCATGTTATTATCTTTTAGTAGCATATTATCATCAGGGTCAAGTTGCCTTTTGTAGATAACTTGGTATGTTTTGTTGTACTTTATTTAAGGTCATGAAGAAGCTTTGTCCAAGTTTACGTTGAAAAAGTTGTTGTTGGTGGTCTGTTTCCTTGATCATGCTAAAATTTCCAGACTTATTGATCATGATCCTTGTCTCTTCTGTAAAGATGCTGAATTCAAGGTACAGCTTTCGTTTTATGTTTTGTAATTCATATTTTATTTGAGACTTTTATGACTTTTATGGCATGTTTTCTCTTTGGAAAGAAAATTAGTTTTCTAAAATAATACTTTCCTAGAATAGAACTATTAGTAATTATAAAAATACTTGATTTTTATTGCTTGAATTTTCACTGTCATCCTTCATCTCAGCCTTAAGATTGAACTTAACTATGGTTCGAAGGAATTAATATGGGGAGAAATTTCTTTTCTAATGTAGATGTAACATTGTATTAATTACTGCTAGTTTTTGGAGTACATTCTGAGCATTTTTTTTTTTTAAGAAAGTCTTGGAAATATATGAAATTTATATTATTAGCATGTAACTGGCAATCTTTTTATGAAACTGGCAATGTTTTTACAAAACTATTAATTTTATACCTATACCTGTGATTTGAAGGATTTTTAAATTGTAAGTCAAATTGTAATATTGAATATAATACTTACAACCTGTTTCTTTATAGTCTAGTAAAGAAATTCTTCTGGCATTTTCACGAGATTTTCTAAGTGGTGAAGGTGACCTTTCCCGTCACCTTAGCTTATTAGGATTACCTGTTAGTCATGTTCAGACGCCGTTTGATGAATTTGATTTTGCTGTTTCAAATCTTGCTGTGGACTTGCAATGTGGAGTGCGTCTTGTGTGAGTATAAGAAGTATAATTGTTTCGCTTAATGAGATACACAAAAATTATGTGAAAAGCGTCATTTTCTGTACTTTAGTTTTTCTTTTTCATACAATCAAATAAATTTAGAATAAAAAGAACCTTGAAATTTGTCTTTCAGAAAAGTGATGTATCAATTTAAGATCCAAATATTTTTGTCTCCTGTCTCATTTTCTTTTCTGTCAGCGTATGATCTGAATCTGGTATCTCAGAATAGGAGCTAGGCAGAACATGAAACTAATTAAAATAGAAAACACTTAAATAACATCTTGTATCAATAGTGTTTTCATGCGTTATCATTTGACACTACTTAAGTCTCACAAACAAAGAAAATAAGATGAAAGGGTAGAGTAATATATTGAAATTGAGGCACAAGCTCATGGTATCTGACTTCAGATGCAGTATTTTCCCAGTAACAAATTGGAATCCTCAAAATTGACTGGTTTGAGTAATAGGTACCTATCTCTGCTTTAGCAGGATTGGTTTTTACCATGTAACTATAGTAAAGATTTGTGGACTGAAAAGAAGTCTTTTTCTCCAAGGTATGTTATGTTCTTATCAAGGAGGTACTTTTAGGGTTAAAGGAAAATACATATATTTTTATAGCTAAGATGTGTTTTTCTCTGTATATTTAAGTTAAACTTCAAGACAGCTAGGTAAGCTTTGAAATGTGAAAAGCACAGTTAATGGCTATAGATTATTTGTGCTACAGTAATGCTTCCCGATCTCAATCTGACCTGCTGTCTTCTTGTCAGATTTTGAATTATGTTGTTGCAAGAGCATTGCACGTAGTCTTCATGCTGAAAATCAAAGCAGCTAAAAACTGATTAAAGAAGAAGTTTTTGAATACACTTCTTCTTGTTTTAACCAGATACATTTAGTGTACAAACTAAAAGCCTGATATCCATGTCTTATGAAGACCAGTTGAAGTAACTGTGAATATTCAGAGAAATAGAAACACAACGTTCTTAGACACAAATGTCTTCAAGTACTTGAAGGGCTACTTTATGCTGAAAGGTGATTAAATAGATAAGAGAAATAAACACATAAATAATGAAAAGTTTTGAGAAGATGTGTGTTGGTTTGATAAACCCTTGCTAATCTTTAGTCCTGCCTAAAACCAGTTCACAGTATCAAGAGGTTCAAGCAGAAGTGAGGGGACTACTTGGCTAGAGTGGAAGCATTTTTGACAATTATGAAGAAGAGATCCCTAAACTCTTTTTCAGAATTAACATATATGCTTCTTTCTTTTGTCTTACGTTTCCATTGACTTTTTTTTTCTGATTTTTTTTCTTTTTTTGTATTTAGTACAGGGTCTACAGGGACTCACTACACAGATCAGTCTCATAGTGGTCCTCCTGTTTTCAGCCTCCGAAGTGCTGGGATTGCAGGCATGTGCCACCACACCCAGTCTCAATTTCTGTCTCAGTGTGTCGGCAGGGCAGGGCCAGCAAGTCACACCAGGGATCAAACCCTGGCCCCTGCGTCTGCCTAAGTAGGTGCTTTAATCCGCTGAGCTATCTGGCCGGCCCTCTGAATTTTTCTTAACAGCTAATAGTCTTGAGAATTACAGTGCCCCTTATCTCACATGAACAGTTTTTGTATAGTGTGTCATTTGCTGAAAATATTTTGTAGGTAATTTTGTTCATTTCATAAGTCTAAGTCATCACCTGTTTAATTGGACCAGCCTTCAGTTATGTACAGTAATCATTTGGGGCTTGCTTTTTCTATGTAAAATTTTAGTATTTGGTAGTGTGCAAGACATAATAACCTATATATTAGAGATCTGAATTCAAACTCTGAAGTACCTGTATTCTTTAAGTAGATATTCAAAATTTTCTTTTTAATTTTTAAAATTATATTTGGTTAGTGCTTGTTGCTGTTACATGATTGGGTTTATTGTGGGAAGTTGGTACATGAATTTAGCTTATCTTAATCCACACACCGCTCATTTGTCTCCTTAGATTTCACCACTCAGGCCTAAATGAGAAAACATTTGCTAACTATGCAGCAATGCAATTTTGAATTTTTGGGAATAGGTTCCTTTGATGTTAATGTCCTTAAACTCTTGGGATTTGTGTAGGTAATAACTGTATTTAAATGAAAAAATATGTTTTTTATAGCAATTTTATCTGAAAATTATTTTACTTTTAGGAGAACCATGGAACTTCTCACACACAACTGGAATCTTTCAAAGAAACTAAGGATTCCTGCAATAAGTCGCCTTCAAAAGATTCACAATGTTGACATTGTTCTTCAAATACTTAAGTCACGAGGAATTCAATTAAATGATGAGCGTGGTAAAAACTGAATAAAGATAAATTATACTTTTCTCATTGAATATTGATAAGTATATACATTATGCTAATAGATTGTTGTTTCATTTTTAGGAAATGCAATTATATCTAAGGACATCGTGGATAGGCACAGAGAAAAAACTCTTGGGTTGCTTTGGAAAATAGCATTTGCTTTTCAGGTATTGTATAATTGGTATGCTGTAGTTTTTATTAATTCTGAATACTGATTTATAAAATCTGCCTGCATCACATAAAGACTAACAGTAATAACCATCAGTGAGGTTTACTCTGTCCCAGGGATTGACAGTTGCTTTATGTATTCCACTTTAATTTTCATCACACACCTACAAGTTCAGTGTTAAGTCTGCCTCACAGACGAGGAAACTGACACTAAAGTGCCTTATTAGTAAGAATTAGATCTGAGATGTGAATGCAGGCTTGTGTGGCCTGTACCCCATGTTCTTAACCACAACAATTGTACCAGTTCTATGTAGTTTATATTTGCCTTTTTTTGTATATTTGTATGTATATATGTTGTATTTAGTCTTTTTGAGACAAGGTTTCACTGTTCAGGCTGGGTTAAACTTACTTTGTAGCCCAGATTTGGTCTCAAATTCTCAGTAATTCCCTTGCCTTAGACTCCTACATGCTGGGATTAGAGGTGTGTGCCCCTATACCTGGCTACATTTGCCTTCTTTTAAAAAAGGAGTTTTTTTGTGCTAAAATAGACATTTTTGGATGCTTCTTAAATTTTTAAAATCTATGACTACATTACATTTTTTTTCAAACTTACACAGTTTCTCTAAACAGAAGACTTATTTTGATTACTATGGATTAAAAGAATACAGGAAAAAATTAAAGTATTTATCTTTGTATGTTGCAGGTAGAGATCTCCCTTAATTTAGATCAACTAAGGGAAGAAATTCAATTTCTAAAAGACATGCAGAGCATGAAGAAAACAATGTCTAAATTATCAGGCCATTCTGATGCTGTTATAAATAAGAAAAATGACAAAGGGCGTAGTAGTACCTTAGATCACTACAGTGAGAGTGTGAAATTATTGATGGATTGGGTAAATGCTGTTTGTGCTTTCTATAACAAAAAGGTAAGTTCTTTTAACCCAACATGTTTAAAAATAAATAAATTTTATTCAAAATGAATAATAGAATATATATATATATGTGTATATATATATATATATATATAATATATATAAGAACTTTTCCATTTTTGAAATAGTACGTATGAGCAAACTTTTTCTCAAGTATTTTATCATGTCATATTTTATGTGATCTGTCTCCAGTTACATAGTGTATGCTGATTTTATTTATCAGTAAGAAAAAAATTACCATAAAGTTTTTATAGAAAATGCTTAAATAAACTTAGGACACAGAATGATCAGAAGTTTAGAATAAAGATAAATGTGAGTGGACCCATCATGTGGAAAGGTACAAACAAGAACCTTGCCACTATGCAAGCGAAAAAAGTGCAGTCTAAGCTGAGTTTTTCTGCAGTAATTTATAGGCTGCTACTCTATTGCTCTGTGAGATTAAAATGTAAAGTGTGAGTAGTTGAGAATAAATTGCCCAGACATGAATAAGGTACAACCTGGTAAGGTATATAAAACAGGAAGAGTGATATATGGTACATGTAATTAAATATATTAAACCTAAAGTTATTAGCAGACACATTGTCAAATAATGTATAACCTGGATCTTTAATAAGTGCTATTAGAACTAAGTAAGTTACAGTTAGAACTTACTTCTAATGCCAGAGTCAGCCCTGGGTGCATTTTAAAGGTGGTCATTCACCAGTGTGCAGATATCAAGGGTCTCATTTTCAGGTGAGATCCAACAAGACCATACTGCACCTTATCAGCTTTTGGACTATGAACACATGTCCTTTGTGTGGTCTCCTTAGTGCTGTGTTTTCTACATTTTTGTGCTTTTTTTTGTTTTTGATTTCCCAATTTAAAATGGCTCACAGATATAGTGCTGAAGCAGTGTATAGTGTTCTTAAGAGAAAACTAAAATCAAAACTCAACATGAGTTAAACAAGCATTATTCAGGCAATGAATGTACTGCTGTTGGCTGTGACTTTAATGTTATTGAATCAGAAACACACATAAAATGGCATTGTATGTTGACTGGCTGATAAAAGTGTAGTGACCAAAGCCCACAGGAGCTTAACCCTCTGTTTGTCTGTTATAAGCAGTGGTTCAGTATTCCCCCTTCACTGTTCAGTAGATAAATGAAAATTTACTCTATTGTAGTTTCCTAAGAATGCCATAACTGAGTGTTATAAATTGACTGGCTTTAAGCTAGAAACTTATTTTCTCAGTTCTAGAGGCTAGAAACCTGAATCTAAGGTGTTAGCCAGGCTATCCTCTTAATTAAAGATTTTAGGTGAGACTTTCCATGCTCTTAAATTTTGGTTATCAGTAATCTTTGATGTTCTTTTTTTATTCATAGATTATTTCAGTCTCTGCCTCTGCACTTATATGGTATTCTGCAGTTATATGGCTTCTGTCTGTGTCTTTCTTATAAAGACATCACTCAGATTCAATTAAGAATCTCCTCGCTAGCAGTGTGACCTCCTGCAATTAATTATTATCTGTAATGTCAGTTCTCAGATGACGTCACATTCTGAGATTCTGAGAAGGATGTGAAGTCTTGGAGGGACACAGTCCAACCCAGGCCAATAATATCAAAGCCTACTTTTGAAAAGGATAATATTTAATAATTGAAAATTTGGCTATGAATATAGTATCTTGTTATGTGTGAGCAATTAATAGTTTTTTTAGCTATGAAAAGGAAATAATGGACTACGAAACAATTATTAGTATTCAAATGCAACTACTTGTTTTTCTGGTATTTCCAATCAGGTGGAGAATTTTACAGTGTCTTTCTCAGATGGTCGTGTGTTATGTTACCTGATCCATCACTACCATCCTTGCTATGTGCCTTTTGGTGCTATATGCCAGCGTACTACTCAGACTGTGGAATGCACACAAACAGGCTCCGTGGTATTGAATTCCTCCTCTGAATCTGATGATTGTTCTTTGGATATGTCTCTTAAACCACTTGATCATGGTTAGTCTCTTTTTCTTGAGTAAGTTCTAATTCTCACTCATGTCTGTTTTTGGATATAACAGTCTTAATTTCTTTCTTTTTTTTTTTTCACTTACATAATAGAAAATAATTGTGAACTACACAAAGAGCTTCTAGAAAATGAAAAGAAAAATTTTCATTTAGTTAGGTCTGCAGTTAGAGATCTTGGTGGAATACCTGCTATGATTCACCATTCAGACATGTCAAATACAATTCCAGATGAAAAGGTAAGTTTCTTATTTAATAACTTAATAAAACTCAGATTGATAGTAAGTTGTATATTCTCTGCTGATCTCCATTCATCTTTTGCATTTTGCTTTCAGGTGGTTATTGTGTATTTGTCATTTCTTTGTGCAAGGCTTTTGGATCTTCGTAAAGAAATACGAGCTGCTAGGCTTATACAAACAACGTGGAGAAAATATAAATTAAAAAAGGATCTAAAACATCATCAGGTAATCATAGAAAGCAGAAACATTATAACTTGAATTTTACTTCTTAAGGTGCCAGTTGATTGATCTTTTATGTGTATTTTACATTTTACAAATACATGAAGTACTGCTGAGGCAGAGCACAGCAGCCAACCCTGGCCTGCCTTCTGGCTCCGCCCTCGGAGCGCGCTGAGACAGTGATTGAGACTGGGCCTGGTGGCGTGTGCCTGTAATCCCAGTGTTTAGGAGGCTGAAAATAGAATCCCTGTGAGTCCGATCTACGTAGTGAGATACATTAATTGTATATATTTTGGGATGAGAAAGGATAAATATTCCCCTCAGTAGCTGCTGCTTCCTCCTTTGGTGTATCTTCCAGCCTCAGGTCTACCCTTTTATTTAGTCTGCTCCAGAGGAAAAGAACTAACTTATTTGCTTTGTAATTTGTGAAAAATAAACTAGAGATGCCTGACTAAGCTCTTCCTTTCTTTCCAGAGATCCAGAGAGCAAAAATTTTCAAGTAATTTTTTCATACTCTGCTCTGTGAGGCTTCTCCTCAACTAGGGCCACCTGGCCTGGGCATCAAGTGTTTTGAGTTTAATAATTAGCAAGTGCATTTTGTTTGTGATGAAACTGCCTTTCAGCTTATTCTTTATTTCTTTGCTTTCCATTGTTTTACTTCTCAAAATGTTTAGGAACTGAATACAGGAATAGAGATGTTATATATTGTCTCTGTGAACCCAATAGCACAAAACTTTGCAAAGTATAGCAAAAAATAACATTTTTTTCCCGAGTTTTGAGAAAACTGCTTTTTTGGGAGGTGCAGTAATGAGGATTGAACATGGCCTTTGCACTGAGCTGCATCTGCAACCCTGTATTTATTTTTTGAGACAGGATTTTGCTAAGTTGTCCGATTCTGCTACCTCAGCCTCCCAAATAGGGTTATAGGCATGTCCCACCATTCCTGATAAAAATACTGTTTTTAAGAATCAGATTAATGGTTTCCTTGATCAAGGTAAATAAATTATTTTGGCCCTCTCATCTTCTTATGCCCTTTATTAATACTACATTTTATTTGGGAAAATACAAATAAACAAATAGCCATTGTTTAATAAAATGATATTTCAGAAATATTCTCCATCCAAAATTGCTCAATTTTGAACTGCAATGCATTTAGGTCAAATTCCTACTAAGTGTCTAAAACCACTACATTTTGGTATCAAAGGTATATTTTCTTTTTCTTTTTCTTTCTTTTTTTTGGTGGAAGCGGGGATTGAACTCAGGCCCTTGCACTTGGCCAGGGAAGCACTTATACCACTGAGCCATCTCCCCGGCCCCTCAAAGGTATATTTTCTCATGCCATGTTTGGCCTGGACATAACACTAACTGAATGATTTGCTCTTGCCCACTTAGCATCCTGGTCATAACTTTTGGGAAATAGGAAGACTTATGCTCACAAAAGGTCTCCTCTGCTACTCTGCGGGTTCTGTGCATTTATTACCCAAGCCTTTCCCAAGTTTCTCCTCATGCCCCTCAAATCACTTGAAAGATAATTGTACTGTTGGAAGCTTCTAGGAGAATTGTTTTTCAAAAGTTTTCAGGGAAAACTATGTTCCTGGTCAGTTCAAGTTGTTTGATTGATGCTTTTTACATGTTAGTGAATTTTCAAATTATAGAATTAGATGTCAATCCAAACATATTCTGCTTTATTTTGTGCCCCATGTAATCTTGTTTTAGTCAGCTATTACTGTAAAGGTTTCTTGCCTTTGGCTGGTAGCACCTTTTGATTTCTTTAATATAAAGAGTAGAAATTTCTGTTTTTTTGAAAGGCTAAGGGAAGTTTCTCTATGATTAAACTTCATTCACCCCATCTGCCACTCCTTCTCTCCTTTCTCCTTGTGGTCATATTACCTTTCTATACAACACACTAACATCCAATTATATCTTTGTATGTGGTATATAAGCCACAGTCTCCCAAAGATGCTAGTCTAATAAGCTGGGAATCGAACCTTTTTTTTTTTTTTTTTTTTTTTTTTATGGCTGGCTTGGGCTACCTTAAGGGCAGATAGGGTGTGGATGTGGAGCTGGGAATCGAACTGTGGTCCCCTGCTCCTGACTGAGTTTGCCCAGCGGGTGCTTTAAACAACTGAGCTAACCTGCAAGTCCCCCAACTAGCCTAATACACTAGTAAACAGTATCTTAATATAGCTGTTTTTCAAGGTTTAAAAAATTTTTTTATTTATTTCTTATTTATTGGATACAGGGTCTCACTATGCAGTTCAGATCCATAGTAATCCTCCTGTCTCAGCCTCTCCAGTGTTGGGATTATAGGTGTGTACCACCAGGCTAGGTTTCAGGGCTGGCACGGTGTTCCTTGAACAGGCACCACATGTGGTACTAGGGATTGAACTCTGGTCCTTGCACTTGCCTGGCAGGTGCTTATGTCACTGAACTATCTCCCTGGCACTCGGGTTTTATTTTTTATTTGATTATTATAATTCTCATTATTCTATCCACTTAAAATGGAGTGGCTTGAATAAAATACTATATATTTCTAAAACATATCAGTTTTTAAAACATTTTAGGGCCAGCCAGATAGCTCAGCAGATTAAAGTGCCTGTTTAGGCAGACACAGGGACTGCACTTCGATTCCCAGTGTGCTATGCTGGCCCCACCCCCGCGGTGCACTGAGACGGTGACTGAGACTAATTGTGGTGGCACATGTCTGCAATCCCAGCACTTGAGAGGCTGAAAACAGGAGGATCACTACAAGTCTGAGCTTTGTAGTGAGACTGTATAGACCCTGTGCTAAAATATGTTAAAAAAAAAATAATGATTAGAATCTATAGCTGTTTTCCATGTAGAACCAATCCTTGACAGTAGATTGTCCCAGATAGCAACATACAAGGTTGTCAGATATTCTGTAAGTTGTTCGTTTCCACGATAGTTTCCAATTCAGATGAAGTGACACATTTAGCATTGCAGAGTATGAACAAAGTGATTAAGAGCGTGGCTTCTGAAGCCAGGTGAGCTGGTTCAAATCCTGGCCATATTGCCAGTAGACTAAGCCATGTGACTTCTTTGCCTGCGTGTTCTCAGGTTCATAACATAATATCTGTTCATTTGCTCTTACCGGGTTTAAGAGTATAATTTATAAATTGTTTAGAGTGGTGCTGGATATAAAATGTATTATTGATGGTAGTTCATTTGTAGAAGTATCCAAAATAGAGATATGAAGGGAACTGATCTCTAGTAAGGCTGGTGCTCTTGGCCATATACCACTTTTCACAACCCAAACTCTGCTCTTTTCTCGAGTCTCTATGGAATAATATCATCTTGTGTACTTTGCTGAAGGAATTGGTATTTTATTCCCTCCCTTTTGCAAATTGCTTTGTTCAATTTTAATAAAATAATGCTACCTTATACTGCAAATCATTTTTTATATATTCCATTCTTTCCCTAAAAGTCAAGGATAAATTTACTGTACCCAAACCTGAAAAATATACCTTAAATACATCGCTTTTATCTTGCTTACTGGGATCTGTGGTAGAGAAAACATATCTATGGCTTTTCTTGTAGACTTTTAAGGATCTTGGTTTCACCATGCAAATAAATCTGCCAGGCCCCCCCACCCCCGCCCCTAGCCCTTTCAGCATGCCCAGAAGGAGCAATTTCCAGTTGTGAACACAAGAACCTGGGGGGAAGGGGACTGATTTATTTATTTCCAGGATCAATTTGATTAATGCTTAACAATTGATTATGTTACAAAGAATAATATCTTAAGTAATTAAGTATTCATACTTGCTTTGTTGTTTTAAAAGGAGAGAGACAAAGCTGCAAGAATTATTCAATCAGCTGTAATCAGTTTTCTGGCCAAACGACGTCTGATAAAAGAGGTTGATGCAGCGTTGATCATTCAGAAATCTTGGAGAAGATTATTAGCGCACAGAAAATTATTGATGTTAAAAAAGGAAAAACTGGAAAAAATTCAAAATAAATCAGCTTTAGTTATTCAGGTATAGTATCCTGGACTAATAGTTAAAACATTTAAAAATAACATTTTTAAAGGTAGAAGGCATAATATAATTTCAAAAAACAAATTAATAGTTGTGTTTTAGGGTTCTCTAATACACTTGCTTCTAGGTATCTGACAAGTGTCCAGAACCCCCTCGTGGTTGGCCAAGTCTGCAGATGCTTGGTCCCTATGTAGAGTATATTTGCACATAATCTATTGTATATTCCTATATACACTATTGCTGTATTACTTATAATGCCTAAGGCAGTGTGAATGTCAACAGTTGTTCCATTGTTTTGCTTATGGAATTAGGACAAACAAAAAATTTGTGAAAGTTCAGTTAGGCACATTTTTTAAATATCTTTTATATCTTTATCAGCTGTTGAATTCAGGTTTTGGAATGTGCTGATCAGAGGGGTTTGTCTTGAGCTTAATTTAACAAATACTTAATACCTCTTTGCTCTGTATAAAACTGCTGTAAGGTTGGAGCATGACTCATATGCTTTCTTTGTTCTGAAGGAGAAATATTCTAATTCCATATCTCTTGCTGTCTTGTTGTATATAAGAGATTTGTAGTCTTCATCTCCACGGAATATGCTGGCATACTGTAGCATTCTGCTTTGTAGATCCATGTCTGCAAAACCAAGCTCTCCTTTTAATCTTCAGTGAGTCCTTGGAAACTTTTCTTTCAGGACAGCTGTACATATTTTCCTCTCTAGTCCATTTAGTTGGAGTGTAACAAATAGTGCTTATACTTAGCCAATAGAATGCCTGCATTATTTTCTTTATAGTAAAGAATATATAACATGTCTACTTTATATAATGGCCATCTTCCTTACATCTATGTAAGTTAATATTAATTCTATTTTAATGAGAAGAGCTATATACTATTCTTTGTTTGTTTGTTTTTGTTTCTTTTTTTGTGCTGCTAGAGTTCAGATTCAAGGCCTTAGTCATGCCTGACAGGTGTTCCAACACAAAGCTACATTGCCAGCTCAGAGATGTTTAGTTTTTAAGGTAAATCCTTGTAAATGTCTTTGAAACTTTGCACCATAAATTTATGTGGCGTTTAAATTTTATTTTGAAAAGTGAAAACCGAAGCAAAAATAAATAGAAAGAGTGACAGAAACAGGGTAGCATGCAATAATACCTGTTATAGATGTTCAAAACAGAAAGAGCTATTTAACAGTGGTTGTTATATCATCTGTTTTTAATGTCCATTGCTCAGATTAACAGCTATAGTTATGCAAGATTGGACAAATAATTGAATATTAACTCTTGCTTTCAAGAAATCTTAATTTTTTTCCTTGTCTTTTAAATATTGTGTTGTTTCCTTAGTGTAAGACTCTGAAAGACTAAATAAAGCCTGAAAGGTATAATGTATAGTAAAATGGAAAGAAAGTGAATTTAAGGATTAAACAACAAAGACAAGAGAAAGGAGAAAAAATAGGGAAAAAGGAAGGAGGGAATATCATGCAAGTATAGCTACAGGATGGCTGAGATGATTGAACTAATAACTTTTTCCGCCAGTTTTTTGAAAATAGCAGTTAATGTTTAGAATATTCATTCACCTTGACTAACTGTATGCTGGTATCTATGATCTGAGCGACTGCATCAAGGACAGCAGTGTGTAGTACAAAACCCCTGGTTGAATACCTCTCATCTTGGTCTTCTAAATGTGTGCTGTTTCTAATGTCTTATCAATTAGTATACTCTCTTTAAAATAAATTTTAAAAATTTTTATTTTTTTTGTAAATTGGAAAGATTTTGATTTTGGCCACCAAAATTGATAAATGGCAGATTCTGATTCAATAAATTGTCTTTTTTTTTTTTTTTTTTTTGCGGAATCGGGGATTGAACTCAGGCCCTTGCTCTTGCCAGGGAAGCACTTATTCCGCTGAGCCATCTCCCTGGCCCCTAATTGTCTTTGTTTTGAAATGTATAAATTCATGAAGTATTGCAGATAGAAAATTTCATACATTAAGAACAAAAAGCCTGATAATTTTTCATAAACATCATCTGGGCCAAAAAGCAGTATATCACAGCTTCTTAGAAGATATTTCCCAGTCAATTAACTCTCCCATCGCAGCCACCCTTTGCTAATTTACGCTGACCATGTCTTTGTTCTTATTCATCATCTTTAAATAGTATAGTTTTGATTGCTTATTTTTTAAATTTTGGGTGAATATGTCCAAATTCTTTCCTTTGTCATTTGTGAAATTAGTGTGCTTGAGTGTAGTTGTGGTGTGGTTTTCATTGTGTAGTATTCTACAGTATATCTGTTTATTGTAGATGGACATTTGACTTTATAGATGTGAATGAGTCTGTGTGTGTGTGTGTGTGTGTGTGTGACCAAGGATTGAATCCAGGGCCTCATGCTTGCTAGGCAAGTTCTCTACCACTGAGTCTTATTTTGAGTTAGGGTCTCATTAAGTTGCCTACTTACCTTAAATTTGTGATCCTTCTGCTTCAGCATCCCAGGTAGCTGGGCTTATAGTTGTGCTCCACTGTGGCTGGTGGCTTTCCAGTTTTAAGTTATTTAGTTTCTTTGAGCCTTATTTATTTATTTATTTTTGTGTGAAATGTATTCATTTTTCTCAGTATATATGTTGAAGCACAATTGTTTATAAATAGTATATTTCAACTTTCAAAGTCGTGGCCAAGACATTTTAAAATTCTGATTCTGGCTTTTTTTTGGGAACCAGAATCCAACTCAGGACCTCCCACCTGCCAGGCAGGTACCATGCAAATGAGCTCTACCTCCAGCCCCCTGTTATGTAGTAGTATTCAAAGTGGTTTTTTGTTTGTTTGTTTTAATAGCCATGCAATATTTTTATAGTCAATAGGAACATTTAATCCTATTGCTCTCTGAAGCCTTACATAACTGCCACTTCCAGTAGAGTTAGCGTCCTCGACCAGTGTCCTACTCCATTTGTACAGCCCCTAGCACTAGGCCACCTACTCTGGGACCATAGGACCTTGCCTGCAGGTGTGCTCCTCAGGGGGCTGGCCATTCCCTATTCAAAGTGTTTTAATTTGTACTTTTTGATAATTAATAATATTGAACACCTTTTCATTTTAGAAATCTGCTCTTGTATTATTTCATGTAGATTTTTTTCCAATTTGATTGTCTTGTGGATTTATGGGAGATGTTTGGCAAATTTATAGCCAAATTGAGTTGGAATGTGTTTTTGTGAGTGCACCATTTTAGAACACGGCTATACTATTTGTGTATGTGTTTGTGTGTTGTGGTCAGCTTTTTTTATTTTTGAATTTTAGAAAACTATTTCTTAAATGAGTACGTGAGATTAATAATAGATTGTACATTGTAAAAAATTATTTACAAGCTTAAATGAATATAACAATAAAAATTGTCTAAAATAAACATAAGGAAGAAAGAGTTTACAGATGTCATAATAATAGTTCACTGTGTTCCAAAATCAAGAAACTTATGTTCATATAATTAGAATTCTCAAAGTAGAAGGAGGTAGGCAATAAGATTTATTTTATTTATTTTTTCTTTCTTTCCTTTTTAAAAATTTTTTTTGGTTTTTGTTTGTTTTCTTTCTTTTCTTTATTCTTATTTTTTTTCCCACATTGTTATATATTCATAGGCAACAAGATTTAGAGATTTAAAATATCTGAGTTTAGTTAAAATTATAGCACCACATTTCCAAGAAAAATGAACCTTTTGCACAAGCTATATGAATAAAATTATACCAAGACACACAAAAATGAAATTGCCCAAAACTAATTGTAAAGAGAAAAATCATTAAGGCATATACATAGAAAAAATATCAGCTATGGAAGCACAAAACTAAATAGCATCTTACTCCACATTAGGAAAAAAAAAGTGCTAGTGGGTAACAAACTAGACTTATTTATGCAAAGGACTGAAAAAAAAGATCTGTCATTGAGTTTTTATACTTAGTAAACATACCTTTGAAAACTAAACGTAAAATATTTTCCAGTTATACAAACTTGAAATATTCTCATACCTTCAGATGTAGCATATGGAAAATAGCAAAAACCATAATCCAGAAGGCAAGAGAAGTTGCTGTATGGTCCTGGATAAAGAATAAAGAGCTCTCAAAATAGTAGTTATGCAGGGCTATGTAAAATTATATTAGATGAACCCATTTAAAAGGTCATTGAAGATTTCCACAAAACAGTATCAATCTTGTAAGGTTATATACATATTTATATATATGTGTGTGTTAAAGACAAGGAAGAACTAATATAAAGTCAATGGAAAATGGAAATACAGTTTTTAAAGTTTCTAATACTGGGAGAAAATATCATACCATGTCTTGTAGGTAGATTATAAGTCAAAGAAACAGTATAATTCATAAAACAAAAATTAAAATTAAACAGCAATGAGAAAATTAATATTAATTAATTCAAAATTAAATATTTCAAAATAATATTCAAAAATTAAAATTGTGAGTCCAACTAAGAGGCCAGAATGTAGTGTGTCATATGTACTAATCTGTGATCAATTCACAGTACTCACACAGTATTTGACTACATTAATGTAGACAGAAATATTAAGAAAAAGTTTTCATGATAGTAGAAAATTATTAAGAATAAAATGTAGCAAAAATACTTGAATGGCAAATATATGACCAGCATTTCTAACAGTTTGGGGATAACATATTGCTCAAAGTTCTAGTATGTGGTGGACGTGAACAGTGTCTGTGATGCGTACTGGTGGCCAGGTGTCACTTGTGGGCTACTGCTATTTCCTTGATATCCACCCTGTAGACCCAGATAGAATTATGCCCCATAGGGTGCGGGAAAAGTCCATTTGTATGCTGATGGAAATATTTTGATGCTGTATACAAAAGAATAATTAAAACACTGCTGTTGTGTACCTCTTTTTGTCCTGTGCTTAATTGTTCGCCCTATTTGGTGGGTTCTTTCTGTTTTCATTCATGGAGTTGTAGTCATTTTGATCCCTCTCTAGAATATCTTTTAGTAGTCTGTGTAAGGTTGGCTTTGTCATTTTCTTTAGTTGTTCTTTGTCATGGAAGTAGTTCACTTCTCCATTAAACTTGAAAGAGAATTTTTCAGGGTATATCAGTCTGGGTTGTTTTCTTGCAAGATGAAGTACTTTGCTCGATGCTCTTTTGATGGTTTGTGAAGAGAAATCTGCTGTTATTCTGATGGGTTTTCCTTTAAATGTGATCTGTTTCTTTTCTCTAGCAGCTTTCAGTATACTGTTCCTGTGCTGAGTTTCTGGGATCTTGATTATTATATGTCTGGGTGTGGTTTTAATTGGGTTGATGTTATTTGGAGTTTTATATACTTCTGTGTGGTCTGCTTTTAAACTACTTTAAGTCCTGCTTTTAAGCAGGATTGACCTTGTCCAACAAGACTGACACAAAGCTGAAAATACTTTTTGTCCTTTTACAGATGAAGTTAGTGCCCCAATCCTGATGTTTGCTCTACAAATACTTAGATCCATGTGTATTATGCAGTTTTGAGTGGAATGTTCTATAAATGTGAGATCCATTTGGCTTGTGGTGTTAAGTACTGATATATTCTTACTGGCTTTGTTTCTTTTCAATATATAGATGTGTCTTTTTCCTTTCAGTTCTTTCAGTTTTTAAATATTTTGAATCTCTGTTAGATGTGTGCAAATTGGGGATTATTTCATCATCTATGTGAATCGGTCCTTTCATCATTATGTAAGGTCTCTTTCCTTGAAATTTACCTTGTTTGCTATTAATATAACTGCTTCAGCCTTTGCTTATCATTACAGGATTTTTTTTTTCTTTTTTACTTGCCCATATGATTATATATGAAGTAATCTTTTTTTTTTTTTTTTAGTAGATAGCATATAGTTTTTTAAATTTGCATTGCTGCTTTTTTTTTTTCTTTTTTATTCTACTGCTAGCAGTTATGCCTAGGGTTACAGATATGCTAGACAGGTACTGTATTACTTAGCTATTTTTCCAGCCTTGAAAATATAATTTAATTAGTATTTTAGACCATTCATACATCAACTGTTATTGTTGTTTGTACTGGAAATCAAACTCAGGACCTTGTGTTTATTAGGCAGAGGCTTGTGTCACTTGGCTATATCCCTGGTACAAGTGTTGTGATATATTTTTTTTAATTATTTATTTATTTATTTTTAATTTATTTATTTTTTTTTTTTTGTGGAACCAGGGATTGAACTCAGGCCCTTGTGCTTGCCAGGCAAGCATTTACTCTACTGAGCTATCTCCCCAGCCCCAAGTGTTGTTATATTTTTAAGTATTATTTTATTATGTTTTCTGAGTATTATCGGCCCTTCATTTTTCTTTTTCTACTTTTCTGTTGTTTCAATGATTTGAATACATTTTAGTACTTCACCTAATTTTCTTTTCTATTATATATACTTTCATATTTAATTTATATATAATTTTCCATTGTATATATTTTTGGTAGTTGCTATAGGAGTTATAGTGTGCATAGTTTTTGTTTTTTGTTTTTTGTTTTTTGTACCAACGATCCAAGTCAGGACCTTGCGCTTGCCAGGTAGGCGTTTAAGCTGCTGAGCTATCTCCCCAACTCCTCTTTCTATCCTCTGAGAATCAATATTTTATCAGTAAATAATATTCCATTGTATTTGTGTGCTATAATTTTTTTATCCACTCATTTATTAAAGGATATCTCAATTGCTTTTAACTTCTGGATATTATGAGCATAAAGCTGAGTCAGTATTTACTTGTAGATTTTTGTGTGGTCTTTTAGCTGCTTTGCACTGCTATCTGGGAATGCTTTGCCAGGTCATACAACTATTTTCACTTTCCAAGAGGTACCAAACTGTCTTTGAAAGTTGCCATTTGATGCTGCAGTGATTTGGGTTTTAGACATTCCAGTGGATGTGTAGTGGATCATATTGCCCTCTCTGTTTGCAGTTCATGAGAGCAAGAGATGTTAAACATCTTTTCATATGCTTATTCATCCTATGTAAGGTATCTTTTGACCATTTTTAAATAGGTTCTTTAAGCTGTAGAAATTGAGTTTGAAGAACTGTTTTAGGGGACGGGGAGATGGCTCAGTAGAATAAGCACTTGCCTGGCAAACATAAGGCCTGAGTTTGATTTCCGGTTCCACCAAAAAAAAAAAAAGAACTGTTTTATTAGATATGACATTTTACAAATTCTTTCTCCAGTCTATGGTTGTCTTCTTTCTTTTAATGATTTTAATGTTTAGGTTGCCCATCCTGTTTTTTACAAAGCAGGCCCTTTTAATTTTAGATCTAGCTGATTAATATTTCTTTCACAGATACAACTCTTTGGTATTGTATCTAAGAAGTTGTTGCCAAGCCCCAACTGTTGTCTCTCAGAAGCTGTATCCCTAGACTTTTTAATCTTTTATTTTGAAACAGTTAATGAGGCTAGGCTTAAATTGACAATTCTCCGACTTTAGCCTGCCAGAATACGTGATTCTACACAAGTGCCACCATGCCCAGCATCTTTCAGAAGTTTTACAGTTTTGTATTTTATATTTAGGTCTGTTATTCAATTTAGTATCTATACATGGTAAGAAATTGATTTTAGATTACTTTTGCAGATGGGTTTTTATTTTACCACCATATGTTAAAGTAATCTTTCTCCGTAATTATTTTTGTTCCTTTGTCAAGTACCAGTCTCTGGGCTTTTTATTCCATTGAAGTATTTGTTGTTCTTTCCTCAGTTCTATACTGCCTTGATTATGGCAATTTTTAAATACTAAATCTTAACACTGGATAGTATTTCCCCTTCGTCGATCCATATTATTTTTGAGTAAGTTTAGGTTTTTCACTTCTAAATAATGGAATCAATTTGCTGATGTTAAAAATAATGAGATGGGATAAGGACAGACTGTATTAAATCAAATGGTAAGAATAGGCATCTTAATGTTGAGAGCTCTTATACATAAACATGGTGTAGCTACTTATTTAGATCTCCTAAACTTTGTATCTTTCATCAGTTTAGCATTTTTGGTCTTATAGATCTTCTACATATATTTTAACTAAATAGGTAGTATTTTACTTTTTTCACTAATGTGAATGATATTGTAGCCTTCAAATTTACTCTATTTGCTTACTATTCCAGGGTTTTGTTTTTTTGTTGGTGTTGGGTTTTTTTAGTTAAAATCTAGGTCCTCCTGTTAACTTTTGCTATATGTAATGTAACTATGGAAAACTTCTTATAACATAGGCTTGTCTTTCTGTAAAGAATAAAGAATGCAAACTTGTAATATTTAAATGAGAAAGCTATGTAGTTATACTCCAAAGGAAAAGCTATTTATGTTGAATAACTATATCACAATGGTGATATATTTGTTACTGTAATAAGCAGTGTAGGGGCCAGCCAGATAGCTCAGTGGATTAAAGCACCTGCTTAGGCAGATGCAGAGACCGGGGTTCGATCCCCAGTGTGCTGTGCCAGCCTCGCCCTCAGGGTGTGCTGAGACAGAGATTGAGACTGGGTATGGTGGCACATGCCCTTGGGAGGCTAAAAACAGGAGGCTCACGAGGCTGATCTGTGTATTAGCCTATAATGTGATAATAACGGGTGCCTTATATGAATTGTTTGTTTACATAACCATGAAATAAGGAGACCTGGTGAGATCCAGAAACTCATAGGAGATTAATTAGAATCAATAGATAACCAAGACTCTTACTGTATTTTTCTTTTGATTGTTTTGCTTCTTGTAGAACATAGGTTTGCTTATATTTCTTATGACTATGATACAAATGCCATATAAATAAATTGAGATTGTGGTAGATTTCTGAATAGGCTATGGCTCTGTTAATGTAAAAACAACTACAACAAATGTCTAGCAAAACTACATTGTCTTTTAAAATTTAATGTTTTTAAAAACAAATGTTAGAAAAGTTGATATTTTCCAAAGTGTAGTATAGAAAACTATCTATTTCACTTTGTCCTTTTTCTTCTCCTCAGAGATACTGGAGAAGATACTCCACTAGAAAAAGATTTCTGAAACTGAAATATTATTCAGTCATCTTGCAATCTAGGATAAGAATGATAATTGCTGTCGCATCTTACAAAAGGTGCCTTTGGGCCACAGTTACAATTCAGAGGCACTGGCGGGCTTATTTAAGAAGAATACAAGATCAAGAGAGATATAAAATGCTAAAATCATCATCGCTTATAATTCAGTATAGATTTAGAAGATGGAAGCAACGTAAAATGCAATTACAAATAAAAGCTGTGGTCATATTACAAAGAGCTTTTAGAGAGTGGTATTTGAGAAAACAAGCTAAAGAAAGGTCTGCTGTTGTCATACAATCATGGTATAGAATGCACAGGGAAGTACGGAAATATATTTATATTAGATCATGTGTTGTTATTATTCAGAGAAGATTTCGGTGCTTTCAAGCCCAAAAATTATACAAAAAAAAAAGAGAGTCTATCTTGACAATCCAGAAGTACTACAGAGCATATCGGAAAGGAAAAATTGAGCGGACCAACTATTTGCAGAAACGGGCTGCAGCCATTCAGCTACAGGCTGCCTTCAGGAGAGTGAGAGCACGTAATTTACAACGACAGATTAGAGCTGCTTGTGTTTTACAGTCATATTGGAGAATGAGACAGGACAGATTTCGATTTTTAAACCTTAAGAAGAGTGTTATCAAATTACAAGCGCACATAAGAAAACATCAACAATTACAGAAATATAAGAAGATAATAAAAGCAACCATTGTAATTCAGACTCATCTCCGAGCTTATATTTCAGCCAGGAAAGTTCTAGCATCTTATCAGAAAACACGGTCTGCTGTCATTGTTCTACAGTCTGCATATAGAGGGATGCAGGCCAGGAAAATGTTTCTTCAAATCCTCACATCTGTTGTAAAGATTCAATCATATTACCGTGCTTATATTTGCAGGAAGAAATTCCTGAGCCTAAAAAGTGCTGCAATAAAATTTCAGTCAGTTGTCAAAATGAAACAAGCACGTAGACAGTATTTACACTTAAGAGAAGCTGCTCTCTTTATCCAGCAGTGGTACCGTTCTCAAAAAATGGCTTCACAAAAGAGAAAAGAATATATGCAGATGCGCAAGTCTTGTGTCACACTGCAGGCCTTTTTTAGAGGATACCTGGTCCGTAAACAGATGAGGTTGCAAAGAAATGCTGCTGTTTCACTACAGTCTTATTTCAGAATGAGAAAGATGCGGCAGCACTACCTAAAAACATACAAAGCAGTTGTTGTCATTCAGAGCTACTATCGTGCATACAAAGCACAAGTCAATCAGAGGAAGCACTTCTTGCAAATCAGAAGAGCAGCTACCTGCCTTCAAGCAGGTTATAGAGGTTATAAAGTACGGCGAAAAATCCAACAGCAATCCATAGCTGCTCTTAAAATTCAGACTGCTTTTAGAGGCTACAGTAAGAGGATAAAATACCAATCTCTCCTTCAGTCTATTGTGAGAATTCAGAGATGGTACAGGGCACATATGATTGTTTATGGTACAAGAAGAGATTTTCTAAAGATGAGGACAGCTGTAATTTCCCTCCAGTCTGCTTATCGTGGCTGGAAAGTCCGGAAGCAGATCCAAAAGGAACATCAAGCTGCAATCAAAATTCAGTCTGTTTTTAGAATGATCAAGGCCCAGAAACAATTTAGATTGTTAAGAACAGCAGCAGTAGTCATTCAACAACGTCTCAGAGCACTGACTGCGGGAAGAAAGCAACGAATGGAGTACATAAAATTTCGCCGTGCAGTAGTGATGCTGCAGTCCACGTGGAAAGGAAAAACCCTGAGGAGACAGATTCAGAAGCAGCACAGCTGTGCTGTTATCATACAGTCATACTACAGAATGCATGTGCAACAGAAGAAATGGAAAATCATGAAAAACGCTGTACTTCGCATTCAAATGTATTATAGAGCTTACAGTGTTGGAAGAGAACAACATCACTTATATTTGAAAAAGAAAGCTGCCATAGTAACTTTACAGTCTGCCTACCGCGGTATGAAAGTGAGAAAAAGAATGAAAGATTTCAACAAAGCAGCACTCACCATACAGTCTAATTATAGAGCTTATAAAACCCAAAAGAAATATGCAAGCTATAGAGCTTCAGCTGTTGTAATTCAGAGGTGGTATCGAGGTATGAAGAATGCAAACCATCAACATAAGCAGTATCTTAATTTAAAGAAGGCAACAATTAAAATCCAAGCTGTTTATAGAGGTATTAGAGTAAGAAGACATATTCGACACCTACACATGGCGGCCACTTGTATTAAAGCCATGTTTAAAATGCATCAGTCGAGAGTAAGATACCAGGCAATGAGAAGAGCAGCTGTTGTAATTGAAAGAAGATACAGAGCATACTACCAAGGTAAAGTTCAACGAGAAAAGTACCTGACCATTTTGAAAGCTGTTAATACTCTTCAGGCAAGTTTTAGAGGAGCAAGAGTTAGACAGGCTCTACAAAAGATGCACATCTCAGCCACACTCATTCAGTCATACTATAGAAGATACAGGCAGCAAACATATTTTAATAAGCTAAAGAAAATGACAAAAGCAGTCCAGCAAAGATACAGAGCAGTGAAGGAAAGAAATATGCAGCTTCACAGGTACACCAAGTTGAGGCTCTCTGTAATACGCATCCAGGCTGCTTTTAGGGGAATGAGAGCGAGAAGACATTTAAAAGTCATGCATTTAGCTGCCATCCTTGTTCAGAAGAGATTTAGAGCTCTCATGGTGAGAAGAAAGTTCTTGTCTCTTAAGAAAACAGTTACTTGGATTCAGAGAAAATACCGTGCAAAACGGCATTTACAACAATTCCTGCAGTTACAAAAGGCAGCTATTAAAATCCAGTCATCATATAGAGGATGGGTGGTAAGGAAAAAGATGCAAGAAATGCACAGGGCTGCTGTGGTGATCCAGGCCACTTTCAGAATGCACAGAAACTATGTTATGTTTCAGACTTGGAAACATGCCACGATTCTAATTCAGCGACATTATCGAAAGCACAGAGCCACAAAACTGCAAAGAGAAGATTTGATCAGACAATGGGATTCTGCTGTGATCATTCAAGCTGCATATAAAGGAATGAAAACAAGACAGTCCTTAAGGGAAAAACACAGAGCTGCTGTCATAATACAAAGAACATATAGAATGTATAGGCAGTATTGTTTCTACAAAAAACTTCGGTGGGCTACAAAAGTAATACAAGAAAAACACAGAGCAAATAAAAAGAAACAGAAAGCTTTTCAACCCAAAGCCTGTAAGAAAGAAGAAACTTGTATGCAGACAGCTCTTCAGGACAGAAATACAAGGAAACAAATTCAGAAACAGCATGAGGCTGCCATTATTATTCAGAAGCATTTTAAAGGCTTTAAAACAAGGAGACATTACCTCCACCTTAAAGCCACAGTGATTTCTGTTCAAAGAAGATACAGAGCACTAACTGCCTCCCGGACCCAAGCAGTTATTTGTGTAGGATCTTCTCACAGAGGCTTTCAGGTAAGAAGTATTTCCAGTAGATGCATCTGGCGGCCACATTAATTCAGTCCTACCAAGTGTACAAGGTCAAGTTGTTTACCAAGCAGAGTTGACTTTTACAGAACTATTATACATCATATGTCAGAATCAAAGTATATGTTTACAGTTCAGAAATTTATCTGAACAAGTTAAGCAGCCTTTAGACATGACAAGGTAATTTCTAGAGAAAAATCTGAAAAACATAGCTGAAGTAAATTGACAACCATTATTAATGTATCTGTATTTGGCTGTTGTAGAACTAAAAGTATGAACCTGTTCAGTATGGCTACATTGTGAGTCAACAGTGACATAACACTTCTCTGTTTGCTTGTTCACAGGAAGCAGAGTTTCATTCTCAGAGTGGAGCTGCACAAATAGTTCAAAAAGCTGCTCATAAAATAATCCCAAGACAGCTGGACACACAAAAATGCGCTGCCCTACGAATTCAGTCTTTCCTTCAGATGGCTGTGTGTCGAAGAAGGTTCATTCAGCGGAGAAGAGCTGCTGTCACTATTCAACATTACTTCAGGACATGGAAAACCAGAAAACAGTTTTTACGATACAGGAAAGCAGCAGTGATTTTACAAAATCGCTATAGAGCTTTTGTATTTACAAAACAGCAAAGACAATTTTATTTACAGATCCGGAGGAGTGCTATTATTATTCAAGCTGTAGTGAAAGGGATTATACAGAAACGGAAGTTTCAAAAAGTTAAAAACAGCACCATAAAAATACAGGTATTTATATATTTAGTGTAAATATAAAGAGTTTCATCCTTTAACCAATATTTGTTTCATTTATCGAGTGTAAGCAAGTCATAAAGAGATATTAATTTAAGTGTTCATTTTCTTTCTATAAAGTAAAACATTTTGGAGAATAAAAAAAGACACCAATAAAGCTCAGCCAAGACAGTACATAACCAGGATTGTTCTGGCCATGGGCACCGTGTGCTTAGTGCATTTCAGCAGGTATTAACAATGACACTCCATGAAGAATTTTAAGACTCTCTAACATTTATTTTATAAACTAAGCTGAGATTAAGTATTTAACATAACTTTAAGTCAAAAATCATTCTTGAAATCTGCTGACCAGAGCTATTTAAATTAGACATATTTCATTGAACATGGAACAGTTTTGGCTTCTAAAGTACTTTATGTTATTTAGTTTAATCTGTTCTTTAATGCATGGGGAATGTAGAATATTATCTGTTTTGCACTATGAGACAACTAAGAAAAGTTAATTTTTGCACACAAAAGAAAACATATCCTAGGATTAAATAGGTATTTGAGTTCAACTATTAAGTTCTACCTTGAGTAATCTATATGTGTGATATATTGGTATCTGGTTAGGTTGCCGTTACATCATGGTAAAATAAACTGGAGAACAGTAAAAGGTGATATATGATTATTGGTCATTAGAGTAAAATTTTAGCTAGTTTGTAAGATATAGAGTAAAATTTAATCGTTGTCTCCTAGACTGAGAGGAGCTTAAGCAGGAGATGGTCAGAGTCACATTTGTATTCTGAATGAAATATGAAAAATGGACTCAAAAGGGAGGGAGCAGGAGTAGGAGCAGGGAAACCAGTTAGAAGGTGGTTGGCAGAAGGTCAGGTCAAAATGTTCAGTTTATAAGTGAGGTCTCAGGGTTGATTGGTCTGATTTTTGGTTTAATTATCTCCCTGAGCAGAGTTCCTTAAACTTTGGTTTTTGAGTAGCAGAAAGTTTAAACTTGGAGGCATTCAACAACCTAGGTATCACTGTAAAGCCATTATCTCAGAAGAATGTATGGGATGCGTGAAAGAAGGGGACTGAGATTTGAGCTGGACAACATACTTTTAAGGACATTGAAAGAAGCTAGCACATGGAATTAACAAAGAATAAGACTGAGAGTATTTTTTAATGTGTTTAGTCAGGGCCTACAGGGTCTCACTACATAGATCAGACTCGTAGTGATCCTCCTGTTTTCAGCCTCCCCAGTGCTGGGATTACAGGCACGCACCATGCCCAGTCTCAATCCTGTCTCAGCGTGCCCCGGGGGCAGGGCCAGCTCTGCAAGCCTGGAATGGAACCTCAGTCCCTGTGCTCTGCCTAAGTAGGCACTTTAATCTGCTGATCTATCTGGCTGGCCCTATGAGATTAGTTGTGGTGTCAAGAAATCAGTGATTGAGAAAGGAATACTCAAGTTTCAAATGTTACCGAGAAAATTCAGAATTAAAAGGTGTTAATTGGTTTTATTAGAATCATATTTAATAAAAATGTCAGAAAAGCCAAAATAATAATCCTATGAAAAAATCAATGGTTTTTTTCCTCATTTGGAATTTTAATTATTAACTTTGAGAATCTAGTTCTTAGCCTACACTTGTAATCTTATTGCACATTGTGATCACCTGGAGTCTTTTCAATACTAATGATAAGCTTCCCCCTGTAAACATTAATTGGTATGGGGACTATTCAGGCAGTAGAATTTTTAAGTGGCCCTACATGATTTTGAGCAACAAACTTAGAGAACTATCAAAATATACTGTACATAGCTGAATACATTTACATGTGATTTTTTTTTTTTTTTTTTTGAGGAACCGGAGATTGAACTCAGACCCTTGCACTTGCCAGGGAAGTGCTTATTCCACTGAGCTATCTCCCCGGCCCTTACATGTGATTAGTATTCAGATTAATTTACATGAAAACAAATTTTCATCACAATAGTAATTTGGACTAATAATAGAGACCTTAATAACCATTTCATAAGCTATTTATAAATATTAAATAAATTAGCTCTGCCAGTTACCTGGGTGATAACAGTGAGTCACTTAATTTCTCTGGGGCTTACTTATTATAAGCCTAGTAGTTTTCAGAGCTTAGTTTAATAATTTGCAGCTGTCACCTAAACTTCTATTCAGCTACAAGGTTGCCAAAATCAGAAAGTCGGACAGTCTTCAGGTTTCTCCTCTAGGCTGGATACAAAACCTAAGAGTGTAGAACTGGTAAGAAGGGTCTGTTTTCTTTCCAGGAAACAGATGTATTCATTTCTTTCTTTCTTCTAAATGAATTATGGTAATTAACAGTAAACCCAAATCTGGCTTTTCACACATCATACATATCTTCTAATTTAAAGTACTGGTTTTGGTTAGACTAGCCTAGCAGCCAGCCACAGGGTGTATAAGTGGTAGAGTACTTGTATTAAAATCACTGTTTTCAGAGCGCTCTGGGCCGGTGTATGATAGTCAGGATATTTTATTTCTGTTATTGATTTTTTTCATTAATCTCTATTAACATTTTATAATAACTTGAAATTTGTGAAAAAGACAAGCTCTATATTTTCCTCTTTGATAGGGTGTATGGAGAAGATACAAGGCTAAGAAATATTTATGTAAAGTAAAAGCTGCCTGCAAGATTCAAGCCTGGTATAGGTGTTGGAGATCCCGCAAACAGTATCTAGCTGTATTGAAAGCTGTTAAAATTATTCAAGCTTGCTTCTGTGCCAGACTGGAGAGAACACGGTAATGTCACTTTGTGGCAGAGTTTGAGAACATAGAGTATATGTGTGTAGTAACGAGATCCTTTTATAAAATAACACTGCTTGTTTTTTGTTTTTTTTTTCATTTAAATATTTGCTATGCTTGATTTATGTGCTTTGTTAATGAAAGAGTTTGTTTCCATTAATGAAACAAAATATATCTTTTGGACTGTGTTGCTTTTTTTTTTTTTTTTTTAATAGAGGAAAGTCTTCCTAATTTAGTTTAGTAAGAGTATTTTACTAAATCAAATTGGTAAGGATGAGAATAAGGATACATGGGTAGAGAACAAATAAAATGATCTAGTTAAGTCTTGATTTTCATATTAGTACTTAGTACATTTTCTTTGTTGACTTACCTCCTCACTATTTTTTCCTTCTTTTTTCACTATTTTCTTTCTTTCTTTTTTTTTTTTTAATATTCTTTATCCTTAAAGATGTTTATCCAAATTACCAACTTGTCTATTTAAATTATGTTTTCTTATTCCTAGTTGATATCTTCTATATACATTTGTACAAGCTGATTCCACAGGTTTTTGTTTTTTGTTTTAAATACAGTTTAGGAATTTTTCATTACAGACTAGAATTGGTAAGTTATTGTGTCAGTGATTGCTTTAAAGTCATTGTTGCAGCATTCACCAGTTCGGTCCTAGATCAACTCCACAGCAAGAAGGAACACTTAGCAGACAGACACCTCAGCAGTGAGAGCTACTGTCGTATTTTCTTGTGCACAATGATGCACTTTTCTCATTGATGCTCAGCCTTCTTTTCAGAGAAATGTGGCAATACAACAAACTAATATCTTTGCTTTTTCTAGAATTTCAAGAATAAAAAGCCTATCTTTCTTTTAAAATAGGTAACCTTTTTCATTTAATGCTACTTGTCATCTCCCAAGCCTTCTTGACCATTTCTGTTTGGAGATTCATTGAGACTTTATCCTTTACTCTTATTTCTACCATCCTCTCATTTATTTATGTTTTTATCTAATTATGAATACTCATATCGAATGAATACTTATATGAATACTCATATTTTTGATCTTGTTAAATTCCTCATCATATCAGAATTTTAGATCCACATTTTTACTTAATGAAATATTGCCAGTTGCAAAACTTTTTCCTTTGTGTGTGTGTGTGCACTAGAACTTAAGTGTGAGTTACATTTATCTGCTTCATTTTAACCTGTTATTGATTCCCTATGTTTTACATTCCCTTCAGCTTTAGGAGGGGCAGTAAGTGTTTATTGAATAGGTGAAAGTAATGAGAGGTTGTTTTCCATTTCTATTTTTTAGATTTCTGAAGATGAGAGCATCAGCAATTTTCATTCAGAGAAAATGGAGAGCTATACTTTTGGCAAGAAGAGCTCATGAGCACTCTTCAATGATAAAAGTAGGTTTATATAAAAATCAGTTAATTTATACAATTTTAAGAACTAGAATACAAAAGGAATGTTTTTAAAACTCATCTTTCCATTTATGTTACCAATTTATGTCTTTCCATTTATGTTTACTAATCGTAGTAAATTAAAACTGCATTCAGAGTCCTAGCCCAGGTCCGGTGAGTGTGCGGAGAGTTTCCTGCTACCCTGCGCCGGCGGGACCAGTCCCAGCCCAGGCGCAGCGTGGGCCA